TACTCCGATACGGTTTTAATTTCCTCGAGTTTTCCACGTTGGAGTAATTGAAATTTCTCATTTTTGAACTCCATGTTGTTTTCCGCGGCCTATATGGTTGATGCCCGCTTGGAGTCTTTCAGTGTCTTCAATGGATGACACTGTCATGCAAATTCAGGTTTCATCCGCAGAGGAAGGCAAGTTGCTGTGGCTTACATCTGTGTCAGATATGAGGATAAGGACCAAGATGGAGGCAAGTACAGTGCCTTGTGGAACTGAGCTTTTCACTATAGCTGCCTCAGACTTTACTCTGTTTACTATTACTGTTTGTGTTCTATTTCTTAGGAAGTTATAAATCCATCTACCAGCTTTTCCTGTTATTCCTTTTTTACGCATTTTATGTGCTATTACACCATGGTCGCACTTGTCGAAGGCTTTCGCAAAGTCTGTGAATATTACATATGCATTTTGTTTGTCTTCCAGTGCATCTAAGATTGTCATGGTGGTCCAGTAGTTGGGACAGGCAGGAGCAGCCTGCTCTAAACCCATGTTGCCCTGGGTTGTGTAACTGATGAGTATTTAAGTAGGTGGCAATCTTGCTTCTTAGAGCCCTTTCAAAGATTTTTATGATATGGGACGTTAGTGCTATCGGTCTGTAATTCTTTGCAATTGCTTTACTGCCACCTTTGTGGAGGGGGTGCTGTGTGTGTTGTTTTTAGTAACCCTTAAGCCAATTGGGAAAATGTTTTTCATGTACATTTGCACCAAAATTTTAGGGCCTCCAAAATGTTCCTCCTTGGCCTGATTGTGACTACAGCAGAGAAAACAAGGCTGCATCATTGGTATGTGCAGGGGATTGTGGGAGCCAGTAAATACTGTGTTTACATTTGTTTACAGGTGATAAGAGGTTTTCATTTGCTTAGCGTGACTGAACAATAAATATAAGTGAAATATAATATGAAAACACAGATATTGTTGCAGAACATATGACCAATAAGAAGAATCAGAAAACTGGAAAAAACTATCTTCTTCTATTAAATTAACTTTATGCACCAAACACTGGTGTTGTCATAAAATCATCACCAACACCACCTTCAAACCTTCATATCTCCATAAGTAGTAATCATATTTCACCCAGTCATGTCTTAATATACCTTTAAAATTGGGGAAAAAAATTTGGCAAGATAAAAATTTCTTAGCTTTTTTTTTTCTCCAAAATTGCCATCCCTGAGGGCACATTTTAGACCCTTCAGCAATTTAAGAGTTAACTATCCAAAATATTGATAATAAGACTATAAAAAACTTCATATGATAGAGACTTAAACTCAGATTCATGATCAGCTCATCAATGTTACCTTCAAACAACAAGTTTGGTTGGCTAGTGTCATTGCAAGAAAATTATTATTTAAATGTACCAAATTTCTTCAGTAAAATTGGCAGATCAGCAGGAAAATAGCCCACAATCCATTAAAACATTTATCTAAATATGATACACCAGCTTTTTAGGTTTGAAGCCTGTTAGAAGAGGCATTTTCCAGGTAGCTTTGATTGCAATCACCAACACTTAGAAATCTCTAAAATTTAAGTATCACTGAGAAGGATTGGATTTGAGTAGACCTGCTGGCTTAAGTCAGTAGACCTACCGCTGTGCTCCTGCATTATGTTCTTATCAGTGTAATAATAGTAATTAATTGTAATTTTTTACAATGAATTATAAATATATATATATATATATAATATATATATATATATATATATATATATATATATATATATATATATATATATATTATATAATATATATATAAATATATATATATATATTATTATTATTTTATTATTGTAAAGTTCATTTCTCTTTCCATTTCTATAATTATTGTGTATATAATTATCTACCTCTCCCTCCCAGCTCCAGCTTTCCATTGTTTAACAGTTTTCCCACTCTGGACTACACCCGGCTACACCCTCACTACTACACCTTCCCAGCTACACCCTCACTACACTTCCCAGCTACACCCTCACTACTACACCTTCCCGGCTACACCCTCACTACTACACCTTCCCAGCTACACCCTCACTACTACACCTTCCAGGCTACACCCTCACTACTACACCTTCCCAGCTACACCCTCACTACTACACCTTCCAGCTACACCCTCACTACACCTTCCAGCTACACCCTCACTACTACACCTTCCCGCTACACCCTCACTACTACACCTTCCCGCTACACCCTCACTACACTTCCAGGCTACACCCTCACTACTACACCTTCCCGGCTACACCCTCACTACTACACCTTCCCGCTACACCCTCACTACTACACCTTCCAGGCTACACCCTCACTACTACACCTTCCCGGCTACACCCTCACTACTACACCTTCCCAGCTACACCCTCACTACTACACCTTCCCAGCTACACCCTCACTACTACACCTTCCCAGCTACACCCTCACTACTACACCTTCCCAGCTACACCCTCACTACTACACCTTCCCAGCTACACCCTCACTACTACACCTTCCCAGCTACACCCTCACTACTACACCTTCCCAGCTACACCCTCACTACTACACCTTCCCAGCTACACCCTCACTACTACACCTTCCCAGCTACACCCTCACTACTACACCTTCCCAGCTACACCCTCACTACTACACCTTCCCAGCTACACCCTCACTTCAGCTACACACCTTCCCAGCTACACCCTCACTACTACACCTTCCCAGCTACACCCTCACTACTACACCTTCCAGCTACACCCTCACTACTACACCTTCCAGCTACACCCTCACTACTACACCTTCCAGGCTACACCCTCACTACTACACCTTCCAGGCTACACCCTCACTACTACACCTTCCAGGCTACACCCTCACTACTACACCTTCCAGGCTACACCCTCACTACTACACCTTCCAGGCTACACCCTCACTACTACACCTTCCAGGCTACACCCTCACTACTACACCTTCCAGGCTACACCCTCACTACTACACCTTCCAGGCTACACCCTCACTACTACACCTTCCCGGCTACACCCTCACTACTACACCTTCCCGGCTACACCCTCACTACTACACCTTCCCGGCTAAACCTCACATACTACACCTTCCGGCTAAACCCTCACTACTACACCTTCCCGGCTAACACCCTCACTACTACACCTTCCGCTACACCCTCACTACTACACCTTCCCGGCTACACCCTCACTACTACACCTTCCCGGCTACCCCTCATACTACACCTCCGCTACACCTACTACACCTTCCCGGCTACACCCTCACTACTACACCTTCCCGGCTACACCCTCACTACTACACCTTCCCGGCTACACCCTCACTACTACACCTTCCCGGCTACACCCTCACTACTACACCTTCCCGGCTACACCCTCACTACTACACCTTCCCGGCTCACTCACTCCTACACCTTCACTACACCACTCTATCACCTTCCAGCTACACCCTCACTACTACACCTTCCCGCTACACCCTCACTACTACACCTTCCGGCTACACCTCACTACTACACCTTCCCGGCTACACCCTCACTACTACACCTTCCCGGCTACACCCTCACTACTACACCTTCCCGCTACACCCTCACTACTACACCTTCCCGGCTACCCTCACTACTACACCTTCCCGGCTACACCCTCACTACTACACCTTCCCGGCTACACCCTCACTACTACACCTTCCCGGCTACACCCTCACTACTACACCTTCCCGGCTACGCCCTCACTACTACACCTTCCCGGCTACGCCCTCACTACTACACCTTCCCGGCTACGCCCTCACTACTACACCTTCCCGGCTACGCCCTCACTACTACACCTTCCCGGCTACGCCCTCACTACTACACCTTCCCGGCTACGCCCTCACTACATACACCTTCCCGGCTACGCCCTCACTACTACACCTTCCCGGCTACGCCCTCACTACTCACTTTCCAGCTACACCCTCACTCCTACACCTTCTTCACTACTACTACCATTTCCTGCTACACCCTCACTACTCACTTTCCCAGCTACACCCTCATACTACACCTTCCCAGCTACACCCTCACTAGTACACCTTCCCAGCTACACCCTCACTACTACACCTTCCAGCTCACCCTCACTACTCACTTTCCCGCTACACCCTCACTACTACACCTTCCCGCTACACCCGCACTACACCCTCCCAGCTACACCCTCACTACTACACCTTCCCAGCTACACCCTCACTACTACTACCTTCCCAGCTACACCCTCACTACTCCACTTTCCCAGCTACACACCCCACTACTACACCTTCCCAGCTACACCCGCACTACTACACTTTCCCAGCTACACCCTCACTACTCCACTTTCCCAGCTACACCCTCACTACTCCACTTTCCCAGCTACACCCTCACTACTCCACTTCTCCAGCTACACCCTCACTACTCCACTTTCCCAGCTACACCCTCACTACTCCACTTTCCCAGCTACACCCTCACTACTCCACTTTCCCAGCTACACCCTCACTACTACTTCCCGCTACACCCTCACTACTCACTTTCCAGCTACACCCTCACTACTCCACTTTCCCAGCTACACCCTCACTACTCCACTTTCCCAGCTACACCCTCACTACTACATTCCCGGCTACACCCTCACTACTCCACTTTCCCAGCTACACCCTCACTAACTCCATCTTTCCCAGCTACACCCACACTACTCCACTTTCCCAGCTACACCCCTCACTACTACCACTTCCCAGCTACACCCTCACTACTCCACTTTCCCAGCTACACCCTCACTACTCCACTTTCCCAGCTACACCCTCACTACTCCACTTTCCCAGCTACACCCTCACTACTCCACTTTCCCAGCTACACCCTCACTACTCCACTTTCCCAGCTACACCCTCACTACTACATTCCCGGCTACACCCTCAGTCTCTACCCTACAGATAATGTAGATGTACTGTATAGAATTAGTTCTAAAATAATAGTAGTTTATTATGTATCTGAAAGTGATTGTTGTTTCAGGCGTGGTGCATGAGGTACCCAGGATTGGCAGTGATGGTGAGAGTGAGGAAGCTTCAGGAGCCAGTGATGAAGTCACTTCACCGCTCAACGTTAAACTCAGGCACAACAAAAATCGACGTATTACACAAGAGGCATGTGTTAATTAGTTTTCCCAAATAAGGTGGTGTCCTATAGCCCTGCTTCAGATTTACCACCCTACCATCTGATTTACCACCTTACCTTCTGATTCACCACTTTACTTTTTGATTCACTACCTTACCTTCTGATTCACCACCTTACTTTCTGATTCACCACCTTACTTTCTGATTCACCACCTTACTTTTTGATTCACTATCTTACCCTCTGATTCACCACCTTACCTTCTGATTCACCACCTTGCTTTCTGATTCACCACCTTGCTTTCTGATTCACCACCTTGCTTTCTGATTCACCACCTTACTTTCTGAATCACCACCTTACTTTCTGAACCACCACCCTGCCTTCTGATTTACCACCCTACCATCTGAGTTACCACCCTACCATTGATTTACCACCTTTCTGATTTACCTTCTGATTTACTACCATACCTTCTGATTTACTACCATACCTTCTGATTTACTACCATACCTTCTGATTTACTACCATACCTTCTGATTTACTACCATACCTTCTGATTTACTACCATACCTTCTGATTTACTACCATACCTTCTGATTTACTACCATACCTTCTGATTTACTACCATACCTTCTGATTTACTACCATACCTTCTGATTTACTACCATACCTTCTGATTTACTACCATACCTTCTGATTTACTACCATACCTTCTGATTTACTACCATACCTTCTGATTTACTACCTATACCTTCTGATTTACTACCATTCTGATTTACACCATACCTTCTGATTTACTACCATACCTTCTGATTTACTACCATACCTTCTGATTTACTACCATACCTTCTGATTTACTACCATACCTTCTGATTTACACCATACCTTCTGATTTACCACTTTACCTTTCGATTTACTCTACCTTCTGATTTACTACCTTACTTCTGATTTACTACCTTACTTCTGATTACCACCTTACTTCTGATTATTACCTTACTTTCTGATTTACCACTTTTCTGATTTACCACCTTACTTCTGATTTACCACTTACCTTCTGATTTACCACTTATCTTTCTGATTTTAACCTTACTTCGATTACTACCTCCTCTGATAACCACCTTACCTTCTGATTTACTACTTCTGTACCACTTTATACCACCTATTCTGATTTACCAAATACTTCTGATTTACCACTTATTTTCTGATTTACACCTATTACCGATTACACTATATAACTCGTCTTCTCTGATTTGCCATCCTAGTCAAATGTATTTAGGTCATTTTATAAATGCAATTAATGTACACATTAGAATGTAACTGCATTGTTGTCAATGCAGCTTTAGACCCTAGTCGATGCTTTAACCTGTAAACGGTCCAAACGTATATACACCTACCATCCGACTTACGACCTGCTCGACTTACGACCACTCAACTTACGACCGTGTTTTTTATGCAAAATTTCTGGGAAATAAACAACTATTTGTGTTGTACACAGTGTTTATCCTAAACCTTACAGTATAAAATACAGTACTAACAGCATAAAAAGTAAAGTAAAACATGAAATACCAAAATAAAACAATAAAATAAAGTCATTACAAAAATATTTTGTTGATATTCAGTAGTAAAGTTCGACTTACGACCGGTTTCTCGGAACCGAACTCGGTCATAAGTCGGATGGTAGGTGTATATGTTTTTACCGCTAGTGCCTCAAACGTATATATACGTTTTATGTGTAATACATTTAACATTGCCACGATAAGCCTGAGTCACCTAGACATGAGAGAATGGGTGTGAGCACTCACTGTGTGCCATATTAAAATAATTGGGGATGCCTGGGTACCATATGCTCTTTTTTCCTATTAAGAAACAACAATGTTTTTTTTTTTTCTCAAAAACGTTGGGGCAGTACGGTAGTGAACGTATATATACGTTTGGACTGTTTACGGATTAAAGCTTTAAACCAATAACAAGCCATTCAAAGTGCAGCAGTGTCTGCTTGAAAGTTTACTATTTTCTTTGATAACTAGTAGAATCATTTTGTATGGGAGCGGGAATGGATGACCATTATTGTGCCTTCATTTCCCTTAATAATAATAATAGTTATGTATATACAGTGGACCCCCGCATAACGATTACCTCCGAATGCGACCAATTATGTAAGTGTATTTATGTAAGTGCGTTTGCACGTGTATGTTTGGGGGTCTGAAATGGACTAATCTACTTCACAATATTTCTTATGGGAACAAATTCGGTCAGTACTGGCACCTGAACATACTTCTGGAGTGAAAAAATATCGTTAACCGGGGGTCCACTGTATATAATCTTTATTTCTATAAGTACATGTACAAGGTATACAGGCCTAGCTGACATCAGTGACATACTACTACAATGTATATAGAAAGCCCCTTGTTATGCAGAGCATTTTGGTCAATTTTGCCCCAGGATGAGACCCACACCAGTCGACTAACACCCAGGTACACATTTTTCTGATGGGCTAACATAGACAGCAGGTTTTTTTTATTATTATCACACTGGCCGATTCCCACCAAGGCAGGGTGGCCCAAAAAAGAAAAACTTTCACCATCATTCACTCCATCACTGTCTTGCCAGAAGGGTGCTTTACACTACAGTTTTTAAACTGCAACATTAACACACCTCCTTCAGACATAAGACAGCAGGTGTCTTATGGAAACACGGCCTTATATTTTCCAGCTGTACCAGGGATCAATCCTCAGACCTCAGTTTGTGAGCTGAGTGGTGCACTAGCGATAGAGCTGTGGGACACCACCTTATTAAGCTTTATTCCACTTTAGTTTATTTTACATGCAGTATAATATATTTTGGTGTTCAATATTTACTTTAGCTGCTTGGATAAATATAGGTTATTATGTAAATTCTGTAATTAAGTGGGTTGTGCATTGAAGACATTTTAAACCTAAGGGGAAAAAAGTTTTATTCGTAACCCAATGCACAAAAAATCAACCTAACTTAATCTAATACGTATTATATTTCAAGTCAAACTGTTTATTAGTTTTTTTTTTGTTTTCCTAATATTTTTTATGTATAGATCCAGGATACATATCTGACTGCATTGCAGACCCCATTGAATACTATTTGTAAAGTTTATATAATGAAATTTTGAGCAGCTAAAATACCTTTTTTAACAATTTGCACATAATATAATCTGTTAAAACCCACATATTGTTTAACACTGTACACTGTGACCTATAAATTACCAGTAGCACCCTACTTTGCTGAGCAACTAAAGTAAATATTGATCATTGGTAAATGTTGAATATAGGTCCGTCTTAGGAGTATGTCAAAGTATTGGTGGGTATCAGCTAATTTTGATGGTATCAGGAATGATCTGCAGTTGAGTATCAGTATTGGTATCAGCAGAATTTTTGGTGTCTTCCCATCCCTACTGTGTGTGTTTTATGTCGGTTCTCAGGTTGTTAGGTTAGGCTTTGCTGTTAAAAAAAAATAGCATTTTCTTCCATAGCCCAAAATATAACTGTTTGTTGCACAGCCCATTTAATGCACACAGACTTCAGACATTCTCTTTAAATGCTCCATTATTAATAATTTCCAATGACACTTTTTCCAGTTTACAGAAATCAGAGATATTGAAATTCATTTTAATTTTATTGTAATTTTTTTCATCCTTTAATTTACTTAAAAATAATTGCTAGACTATGTTAAATGTAAATGTTAGCATAGTTATGTAGGAAGTTAGGAACTAATGTGTTACTGATTGCAGGATATCAACAAACGGTTATCATTGCCAGCGGATTTGCGGGTGCCAGATGCATTTCTTCAGAAACAGTCTATCAGCCCGGATGGTCCACTCAGTCGAGCTTCTCGTAGACAGTCTCTATCAGAAATTGGCTTTGGGAGAATGGAAACTTATACAAAACTTGATAAGCTAGGAGAGGTGAGGAAAGTGAAACCAAAATTTGTAAATAGTGACACCATATTAGATTATTACAGGTGCCCCTTGCTTTATGCCTTATCATCAAGGCCCGTGGCACATACATCAAAATCACAAAATGAAAAGCCATAACTATTTCTAATAAATTTTTAGGATAACATTTATATTTAAATGAAACTGTAATTGTCAGACATTAGAAATAGAGAAGGCAGAGATGGAGTGGGGTGGGTGAGGGAAACTTCAAGGCTGCAGTATAGAGGACCACTCAGTCATTCATTACTTCTGAGTTGATACATTTTTCTTGACAGTAAGGTTATTGTTGTAACTTTTGTAGTTCAGGCTCCTTTTCAATCTAGTGCAGATGTCTAGGGCAAACTGGTTAATTCTGCCAGCTTTTGTATAGTCAGGTCCTTAACATCAAGAACTGTTTGCGCTTCCTCTGTCTGGTCAGCAGCTGTAGTAATGTCTTCCTTTTCAGGGCTTGAGGAAACTTCTCCTACATTATGCTCCAGTTTACCAATCTCTTTCACAATTGTTGTCATTTTGGAAAACCCTTAAATTTCATGTCTTTTCAAAGGTATCATAAGGCCTAAATGATGTCATTGTTATCTCTCAGGTTGTATGCCTTCCACAACTTCACTTTTGCAAAAAGCAGGAGTCACATTGGAGCAAACTCATATAACACCTGGAAAATTTTTGGTAGAAATGATCGTTACATAAAAAGCAGGGGTACTGTGGGTACAATAAGAACACTATCAACATCTGTGGCCCCAGACTATTCAGCATCTTACGAGAAGATATCAGAAACACTGCTGGGACAAGTGTAGAAATCTTCAAGAGGAAACTGGACAAATATCTTCAGGTGCCAGATTAACCAGGCTGTGATGGTTTTATAGGTCAGTGGACCACCAGCAGCAAAAGCCTGGTTGACCAGGCAAGCACCAGACAAGGCTGGCCCATGGCCAGGCTCTGGGAGTAGTACTCTGGGAACATATAGTGAACCTACATAAAGTGAGGGATTATGGAACAGTATTGTTCATTCCAGTGTCAGGTCTTGTTTTATTATTACATTTGCAGTACAGTACAGCCTTCCTCACTTAGTGACGTACTCGTTTACCGACGACTCGGATATATGACGGGCTCTCTGACCAATATGCAAACCTAAATAATGTACATTAGAGCAGATTTCCTCTATTCTGTTTATTTCAATATACAGTACACTACTGTATAAACGTTTAAAAATATATCAGAAATGTTATAAATGGTGCAAAGGTGACATTAAAACAATATCAAAAGATGTTTGACACAGACATACTACCATTATAGTGTGCTCCTCGCTTAGCAATGAATTCGTGTACTGACGTGGTCTTAGGAACGGAGCTCCATCGTTAAGTGAGGAGAGGCTGTATTTTCATTTAGGTTTTATAATAGCACATATTGTAGGAATATTTCTTTTCATTTATCACTGGCCAATTTGATTCACGTTTAATGTTTTCTAGTGTGTTACTTCATTGTATTTATAATTCTATTCACAAACAACTCACACTTATAATAAGAAATTGTAGATGATATTTTGGTAGGTTCTGGAACACAAGTGCAACATTTTGGTCCAAAATGAACCAAAATGGACCAAAATATCTGAAGTTTTCTTTTGGAAGTGTGGGTTAATTGTGAATTGTTCCAGCCACAGTAATGTGACTTTTATTCATCTATAATTCTGTGTATATCTTCACCACATAGTGTCCTAGGTTATGTATATGTAACACTGAATGATGTCTAGTTTCACTTTTCTTATACATGTATTGTTAAATTTTTCAGTTTAAGGAGCTAAATTGACGTACGTGTGTGTGTGTGTGTGTGTGTGTGTGTGTGTGTGTGTGTGTGTGTGTGTGTGTGTGTGTGTGTGTGTGTGTGTGTGTGTGTGTGTGTGTGTTTGTACTCGCCTATTTGTGGCTGCAGGGGTCGAGTCACAGCTCTTGGCGCCGCCTCTTCGCTGATTGCTACTAGGTCCTCTCTCTCCCTGCCCCATGAGCTTTATCATACCTCGCCTTAAAACTATGTATGGTTCCCGCCTCCACTACGTCACTTTCTAGGCTATTCCACGGCCTGACTACTCTTTGACTGAAGAAATACTTCCTTACGTCCCTTTGATTCATCTGAGTCTTCAACTTCCAATTGTGACCTCTTGTGTCTGTGTCCCTTCTCTGGAACATCCCGTCTTTGTCCACCTTGTCTATTCCACGCAGTATTTTATATGTCGTTATCATGTCTCCCCTGACCCTCCTGTCCTCCAGTGTCGTCAGGCCGATTTCTCTCAACCTTTCTTCGTAGGACAATCCCCGTAGCTCTGGGACTAGTCTTGTTGCAAACCTTTGCACTTTCTCTAATTTCTTGACATGCTTGACTAGGTGTGGATTCAGGCCCATACTCCAGTATGGGCCTGACGTAAATGGTATACAGAGTCTTGAACGAATCCTTACTGAGGTATCGGAACGCTATCTGTAGGTTTGCCAGGCGCCCGTATGCTGCAGCAGTTATCTGATTGATGTGCGCCTCAGGAGATATGCTCGGTGTTATACTCGCCCCCAGATCTTTTTCCTTGAATGAGGTTTGCAGTCTTTGGCCATCTAAACTATATTGTGTCTGTGGTCTTCTTTGCCCTTCCCCAATCTTCATGACTTTGCATTTGGCAGGGTTAAACTCAAGGAGCCAGTTGCTGGACCAGGCTTGTAGCCTGTCCAGGTCTCTTTGTAGTCCTGCCTGATCCTCATCCGATTTGATTCTTCTCATTAACTTCACATCATCTGCAAACAAGGACACTTCTGAGTCTATCCCTTCCGTTATGTCATTCACATATACCAAGAACAGCACAGGTCCTAGGACTGACCCCTGTGGAACCCCGCTTGTCACAGGCTCCCACTCTGACACCTCGTCACGTACCATGACTCGTTGTTGCCTCCCTGTCAGGTATTCTCTGATCCATTGCAGTGCCTTTCCTCTTGTGAGGAACTGTGTCGAAGGCCTTCTTGCAGTCCAAAAAAATGCAGTCGATCCACCCCTCTCTCTCTCTTGTCTGTCTTCTGTCACTTTGTCATAAAACTCTAGTAGGTTTGTGACACAGGATTTTCCTTCCCTGAAACCGTGCTGGTTGTCAATTATACACTTGTTTCTTTCCAGGTGCTCCACCACTCTCCTCTTGATGATCTCTATGACCTTGCATACTATACATGTTAGCGATACGGGTCTGTAGTTTAGTGCCTCATGTCTGTCTCCCTTTTTAAAAATTGGGACTACATTTGCCATCTTCCATACCTCAGGGAGTTGCCCAGTTTCAAATGATGTGTTGAAGATCTTTGTTAATGGCACACACAATATCTCTGCTCCCTCTTTAAGGACCCACGGAGAGATGTTGTCTGGTCCCACCGCCTTTGAGGTGTCAAGTTCGCATAGCAGCTTCTTCACCTCCTCCTTGGTTATATGTACCTCATCCAGCACTTGCTGGTGTACCCCCCTGTTCTGATTTCCTGGAGTCCTACTGGTTTCCACTGTAAATACTTCTTTAAATCTCGTGTTGAGCTCCTGACATACCTCTCGGTCGTTTCTTGTGAATTCCCCGTGTGTATGTGTGTGTGTGTGTGTGTGGTGTGTGTGTGGTGTGTGTGTGTGTGTGTGTGTGTTGTGTGGTGTGTGTGTGTGTGTGTGTGTGTGTCACCTAGTTGTACTCACCTAGTTGTACTCACCTAGTTGTACTCACCTAGTTGTACTCACCTAGTTGTACTCACCTAGTTGTACTCACCTAGTTGTACTCACCTAGTTGTACTCACCTAGTTGTACTCACCTAGTTGAGGTTGCGGGGGTTGAGTCCGAGCTCCTGGCCCCGCCTCTTCACTGATCGCTACTAGGTCACTCTCCCTGAACCGTGAGCTTTATCATACCTGTGTGTGTGTGTGTGTGTGTGTACTCACCTAGTTGCACTCACCTAGTTGAGGTTGCGGGGGTCGAGTCCGAGCTCCTGGCCCCGCCTCTTCACTGATCGCTACTAGGTCACTCTCCCTGAGCCGTGAGCTTTATCATACCTCTGCTTAAAGCTATGTATGGATCCTGCCTCCACTACATCGCTTCCCAAACTATTCCACTTACTGACTACTCTGTGGCTGAAGAAATACTTCCTAACATCCCTGTGATTCATCTGTGTCTTCAGCTTCCAACTGTGTCCCCTTGTTACTGTGTCCAATCTCTGGAACATCCTGTCTTTGTCCACCTTGTCAATTCCTCTCAGTATTTTGTATGTCGTTATCATGTCCCCCCTATCTCTCCTGTCCTCCAGTGTCGTCAGGTTGATTTCCCTTAACCTCTCCTCGTAGGACATACCTCTTAGCTCTGGGACTAGTCTTGTTGCAAACCTTTGCACTTTCTCTAGTTTCTTCACGTGCTTGGCTAGGTGTGGGTTCCAAACTGGTGCCGCATACTCCAATATGGGCCTAACGTACACGGTGTACAGGGTCCTGAATGATTCCTTATTAAGATGTCGGAATGCTGTTCTGAGGTTTGCTAGGCGCCCATATGCTGCAGCAGTTATTTGGTTGATGTGCGCTTCAGGAGATGTGCCTGGTGTTATACTCACCCCAAGATCTTTTTCCTTGAGTGAGGTTTGTAGTCTCTGACCCCCTAGACTGTACTCTGTCTGCGGCCTTCTTTGCCCTTCCCCAATCTTCATGACTTTGCACTTGGTGGGATTGAACTCCAGGAGCCAATTGCTGGACCAGGTCTGCAGCCTGTCCAGATCCCTTTGTAGTTCTGCCTGGTCTTCGATCGAGTGAATTCTTCTCATCAACTTCACGTCATCTGCAAACAGGGACACCTCAGAGTCTATTCCTTCCGTCATGTCGTTCACAAATACCAGAAACAGCACTGGTCCTAGGACTGACCCCTGCGGGACCCCGCTGGTCACAGGTGCCCACTCTGACACCTCGCCACGTACCATGACTCGCTGCTGTCTTCCT